CCCAGCCAGCTGGCTGGGGAATTCTGGGAGTTGAAGTCCACCAGGCTTAAAGTTGCCAAGGTTGGAGACCCCTGAGCTAGGTGATTTTGGGCCTAGTCCCACCTTAAGCATGAAAACAAGTGGGTGACATTGAGCCAGTCACCAGAAGACAGTGAATTCTAGTCTCACCTTAGGCATAAAAGCCAGCTGGGTGACTTTGGGCCACTCACTAGGAGACAAGGAGTTCTGGTTCCACCTTGGCCATGAAAGCTGGCTGGGTGACTTTGGGCCAATCACCAGGAAATGATGAGTTCTAGTGCCGCCTTAGGCATAGAAGATGGCTCTGTGATTTTGGGCCAATCACCAGAAAACAGTGAGTCTATTCCCGCATTAGCCGTGAATGCTGGCTGGGTGACTTTGGCCCAGTTCCTCTCTCTTAGTGCAACCCACCTTACAGGGTTGTTGTTGGGCAGAAAAGAGGAGGAAGAGAATGGTGGGTTGGAGGATATGTTTGCTCCCATAAATATTTGTAAAAAATAATAAAGTCAGGATATAAATGAATAAAACCCCTTATAAAATTCGATACAGCCCATGTGACATGGGTTCCATAGAAACCACAGGGATCAAAGTGCAAAAGACTGGTGTGTATATAAGTAGGAATGGTGTGTGTGTGTGTGTGTGTGCATGCGTGCATGTGCGTTTGGGGTTTATTGATGTATGTCTACACACTCATATTTATTTTTATTTATTAAATATATGCATCTGCCCAAATCGCACACAGGTGACTCCAGGCGACTTACAAAATTTTTAAACCCCACTTCCCCCTTCACCCCATGGAAGCAGCAACGCAATCAAAACAGCAATCAAATTTATATTAAAAAAATTGGATAGCTGGCAAGATCTAGGACATTTGACTAATTCCCCAAAGAGAAAATACACAGTATTAGCACTTGGATAGGACATCATCAGATATTCCTAGGTTTAGATTAGACTGGAAATTAAAAAAAGAAAGAAAGATAAAATTATGTCTGCATTTTTTGCCAAGAAAAGCATATGGGCTGTTCCTCACACTCACCAGGAATGAAACTAGAGTTGATTTTTAAATAAAAATGTACATCCTGATTTTATAGCGCATATGTGGAGTTCATATAATTGTCCTCCCCATTTCTATCAATGCATCCATATGTTTACACACCAATTTCTAAGTCCTGTAGCTATTCTTTGCTTTCCCTTTTCAAGATTACGTCTAAATGTTTGTTTTTTGTCTTGGAAAATTGCAAGTGCCCATTTCCCTTAAGCTTTTAGCAACATAAGGCCAGGAGGTTTGCTAATTGTTTTATGTGCCTCCTCCTTTTAACAAAAAAGAGAAAATATCTGTGTTAACTCTACTGCCTTCACAAATCTCTCTCTTTTTTTTCTCTGCCTCCCCTCCAAACACGGGGGAATTTCAGACAAACTGGCAAAAAGAATATTTCTGGATATTTGAACATCTCTCTTGCTTTGACACCTCCCCTTGAGGTTAATGAGTGAACAGTTTGATCTTCCTTGACATTTTGACTTTTTCCTCCAAAGGCAGCTGGTTGTAGCTGTCTCTTCCAGAGCAGACGAGCCAAAACACTTCGGTTAGTGTTTGGCAAGACGTGAGCAGAAGAAGGGCTGTAGAGATGAGAGTTGGTCCCAGGGTGCATAAAATGCTGGCTTGTTTGGAGCAGAATTAGTGAGATGTCAAGATACCATTGTGTGGTGGACAGAGTTCGGAAGGCAGCGCTTCAGTGAAGGATTTCTGGGGGCTTAACCGACAGCCAGGGTTTTGTCTTCACATCCAGCATTTAGCATCACGTTGGAATGTAGATTACAGGGAGTCCTCAGTTTACGACCACAATTGAGGCAGAAAGTTGTGTTGAAAAGTGAGACATTGGTTAAGTGAGTCTTGCCCCATTTCACAATCGTCCTTGCCACAGTTGGTAAGTGAATCACTGCAGCTGTGGAGTTTGGAACAGGGTTGTAAAGTGAATCTGGATTTCCGCATTGACTTTGCTTGTCCGAAGGAGAGGGAGGGAGGGAGGGAGGGAATTATTTGAAGGTCTACCCCTGAAAATAGATGTTCTTCATTCATGAGGTCTCTTTTCCCTTTAGGTGGAAAATAGGTTTTTAAGAAATTGGTAGCCTTTTTATTGTGGCTTGGAGATAACATGCCACTGTGCTGGAAGACAGGTGTTTGGCTCTGTGATTCAGTCAAAACTTGGGGTGCCTAGTGCTAGCACTGATGATGATACCTAGTTAGGGTAATGAAATATTTGCAAGAAAACAAGCAAGCTCAGAGAGCAGCAAGGACCCCATAGTCGTCTCCACCTCCCTCCCTCCCTCCCTCCCCTCCTCGTCCTCCTCCTCCATCTCTTTTCTTCCTCCCCACAAACCCCACTCCCTTCTAGCACTGAAGATGTTACCTAGTTGGGTGATGAATTGTCTGCAAGGAAACAAGCAAGCTCAGAGAACACCAAGGAACCCCCCTTTTTTTCTGAGCAAGAGTATGAGGGTGGCTCTTAGCATGACTGGCAAGAATGCATTTTTTTTTCTCCCTTTCCTGATTTTTAAACTCATTAATGCAGTTTTCTGACTTCCTAGCCAAGGCGCTCCCTACTAATTCGCTGGGGCATCTCCTAAGAATTCAGTTAGGCACTTCTGCAAACTATGATAACAAGGCAGCCACGTTCCAACAATATTAACTTCCAACAGCCTCACAATTCAATTAATCTTATCTTTCTAACTCCCAATTACAGGCGGTAATTAAGTAAAAATAGCATCCTAATCCAAAGAATGGCATTCATCGTTTGACTGCCTCCTAACAGTGAATGTGCCCCAAACTTTCAAGACATTCCCAGAAGAAATAGGATAGCTCATTTCTTGCTAATCCACAGAAGAAGCGCTTGGATCTGGACTAATTTATTCATTGTTTTATTTGTTTTATGTTAGTGAAAAAAGGCTTTAAAAAAATTAAAATTCAAGGCAAACAAAACAGAGAAGTTAAAGGTAATGTCCCAGCAGTTCTTTTTTGCCCATATTTTCTTTCTGGATCGCCCACTTAACATTAGACCATGAATTTGCTGATCACTTCAGAGGAAAAACATCACTTTGATCTATAGAAAGTTTGGGATATATCTTTTTTTTTAAAAAAAATCTTTGTTTCAAGAGTCTTTGTAGCTGTCAATGAAAGAGGCTTCTCCTATGGGAAACATAGAAGTGTACCGGTAGAAGAGAATATTTGTAGTTCAGGGTTGAACCGTGGGGTCCTTGGTGCTCTCTTCTTGCAGATGTTTCATGACTCAACTGGGTAACATCACCAATGCTAAAAGAGTGGGGTTTGAGGAGAGGAAGAGGAAGCGGAAAAGGGAAGAGGAGGAAGAGGAAGAGAGAAGGAGGAGCAAGGGAGGAGAGGAGGAGGAGGAAGAGAGGAAGAGAGAAGGAGAAGAGGAAGAGAGGAGAGAGGGAGGAGGGAAAAGGAGAGGAGGAAGAGAGTTGAGGAGGAGGAAGAGAAAAGGAGAGGAGGAGGAGAGGGAGGAGGAGGAAGAGAGAAAGAGAATAGGAGGAGGTGCTTTCTGAGCTTCATGGTTTCCCTGCCCAACTGTGTAACATCCTCAGAACAAGGCATATGTATATAAACAGTGTGAACCCTACACTCTCTTCATGCACTGATCCATCTAGCACCACCAAGCTTATATGTAAGGGAGTCCTTCAAGGGAGTGAGGTTTGCAGAGAGAGAGGAGGAGACTGCGGAGTTCTTGGTGCTTTCTGAACCTGATTGTATCTGATGATGTTACCTAGTTTGGTAACGAAATGTCTGCAAGAAAATAACCAAACTCAGAGAACACCAGGTACCCCCCCCCACAACACACACACACACACACACACACAAGAGCTTGATAAGGAAAGGTTATCAAGCTTTGTGCACAGATAGGCCTTGCCTAATAACCATTTGTTCAGCGAACATTCAAAGTTCCAGTGCTGCTGAATGGATGGTAGTTAAAGCTGGTCCTCAAAGTTTCGGCTGCTGTAGCCCTCCCCACAGTCGTGTGATCATAGCTTGGGTGCTTGTAGGCGGGAAGGCAAGTCGTTTATTACAGGGCCAGTGATTGCCATACATAGTTTTCCAAATGCTAGCGGACCGTGTTCTCATCACTCATGTCCAGGCTTCCTTGGGAAGGATGAACCCAAAGGGGATTTTGTTTATTTATTTAAAACATTTATATAGGATAAACTCATTAATATGTATGTGAGATGAACACATGTTGAAAACCTACTTCTGTGTTTCTTCTCTTCACCTGGAACTTTCAAGAGGAAATAAGAGAATAGACTTCAGAATGCCCAAAATGGACTTTCTTTACCCTGAAACGGGCTTTTCTGAATGTTTTTCGCACTTGCAGAATGTTTTTCTCACTTGCTATAACAGTTTAGCCAGCTCTTTCTTTGTTCCTTGTTTGGGAAGTGGGGCTCCGAACGAGAGGTTCATCTTCCATGATCCTGTGGTGTTTTAAGATAACCGCGGGATCTTGTGTTCCAATAACTAAGGGGCTGCCCCAAAGAAGAGGGAGTCAAGCTATTCTTCAAAGGACCTGAAGGCAGGACAAGAAGCAACGGGTGGAAACTCGTCCAGGAGAGAGAAGCAACCTCTAAAAAGGACAAATTTCCTAACAGTTAGGACAATTAATCAGTGGAATGACTTGCCTCCAGGAACTGTGGGTGCTCCAACACTGGAGATTAAGAAGAGACCGGACAGCCATTTATGTCTGAAATGGTGTAGGGTTTCTTGCTTGGGCAGGAAAGATCCAAGATCCCTCCCAACTCCAATCATGTTTGAAATAATGATTAGAGAAGGGAGGAGATGTCTTGGTAGGCGAAAATTCCTGGCAGGTGGGTCGTCAAGGGCAAAGAACAAACTTCTGCCAACAGATTCCTAATGAATCGATTTGGGAGCAGAAACTCTTGGCTGAATTTTTCTGATGAGCTTTTCTTTCCTTTGCCAGGTATGCTATACCTCCAGAACATGGCAAGAGGCTGGAAAGACTGGCCAAAGGTAAGATGATTACGTACATCAAAGGGGTTGACTCCGTGCCTGCTCAAGGACTAAATTTGGGACAAATGAATCAATGAAGTCACACGAGGTTTGATGCTACCGTACGTAAACTGAGAATGTGTGTGTAGCCATATAGGGTGATTGGGATTGCTTCTCTACGAGTGCATCCCTTGTGGCACACTGTGACCTCGGGTTCACCTATCATGCCTTCTACAGTTAGCCCTTGAGGTTTCTCTCCTAAGCCTTTTAGATGAAAGCAGTGCCTTTCAACCTGTGATCCGGAGAGGGGTGGGATGTCGCCAGAGGCTTGAAGAAATGTTAACTTTTAAATCTTGAGTTAAGACTTGGGGGTTCGTGGCTACCCAAGTTATTTAAAAGGGACTCTGCAGTGAAGAACTACCCCTGCCAATAATGGGGATGGAAACCCTACAGTTAAATTATAGTTTAATTTGCAGGCCCCCAGCTTCACATGTTCATGTGTGGGTGTGGTAACACATAAAATCAGTCTCTCTGGTCAGTGGAAAACGATTTTTCTATGTACCGGGGAGGGAATGGTTACGCACACACTACCGCAGAGGCTCAGATGAAGCCGGTTCCACGGAACCAATCCCTGGTGCCCAAAAGGTTGGGGGCCACTGGTTTAATACACAGTATCTTTATTGGGAGCAGTCCTGAATTTCTGCCTGTGAAAAATTTACTTGCGAATGAAATGCTTCTATCAAAAGGACGATCATTTATCTGTCTTAAATTCAATAGGTTTCAATTTTCTTCCGTCACGCATAGGCTTTTGTCTTAGTGCTCTTTTGCCTTCTTAACTATCGTTAAGAATATAACTGTGAGTAGCTGTTCTATTACACCTGACTTCTCTATTCTTCAAAATAATCAAGATAAAGTGAGCGCCGAGGAGAAATAGTGGAAGGCTCACTTAAAAGAGCTTATGCCATATTTTTATAATATAAACCTCAGTGGAAGCTTCTTCTTTATGTAATCACTCCCAGAACCATTTACAACGTTTAAGACTTAATCACATCGGGTTGGGCTAAACAGAATCGCTGTTAACTACAGGTAGTCCTCAACTTACGACCGCAGTTGAGCCCAAAATCGCCATGGCTAAGCGAGACAGTCAAGTGAGTTTCTACGCATTTTACCACCTTTCTCGCTAGTTGTTAAGTGAGTCACTGCAGTTAAGTTAGCCACATGGTCATTAAGTGAATCTGGCTTCCCCATTGACTTTGCTTGTCAGAAGGTTGCAAAAGGGGATCACGTGACCCCCGAGACACTGCAACGGTCATAAATATGAACCTGTTGCCAAGCTTCTGAATTTTGATCCCGTGACCACAAGGATGCTGCAACGGTCGTAAGTGTGAAAAATGGTCCTAAGTCACTTTTTTCAGTGCCGTTGTAACTTTGAACGGCCACTAAGTGAGCTGCTGTAAGTCAAAGACTGCTCGTAATACGTGTTCTCTAAACAACTGCAGTTTCCCTTCTTGATTTTCGGTACCCGTGGGATACAGTCGAAGGGTGAAGCCTGACTCTTACCTAACGGACTGTTTTCTTTGGGGAAGGGGAGGGAATGAACAGTAAAAAGGCAGGCAGGCAGGCAGTTATTGGGCTGCCCCTTCAAAGTCAAATAAAAAGAAAAAAATACATGAGATGTCCGGATGAAGGAAAGCATCGCGCCCGCCTCTTAGGAAGCCATTCCCTCTGGCGACATTGCACAAAATAGAAATAACATATTGAAAACCGGCGACTGGAAAATGAGAGCTGCGAACCAATTTTTTTTATTCATACCATTTTTCTCTTGGTCATATGTCAAGCTTTTACAAAAACTGCCATTTCCGCCAGCATAAAAAATCTCCATAAATCCTGATTCGCCCATAAGAAGAGGTGTATTGTAGATGTATGTCGTGTTTCAAAATAGAATTTGGGCGTCTGAATCTATGGGATATTATTTCCTTGCTGCCCACCTCTCTTTGTTTTGGGGAAGTTAATACTGAATTCTAACGATTTGGTAAGAACGATTTGGTTTTGCTGGAAGTGGATGAGTATGTTGTATTTGTAAAAATAACAATAATTTGGTTCTTGGTGTGATCATGAGTCCTTTCACAGAAGAGACATTTGTAGCTCAGGACTGAACTGTGAGGTCCTTGCTGCTCCCTGAGCTTGGTTGTTTTCTTGCAGACGTTTCACAACCCAATTAGATAATGTCATCAGTGCTAGAAAGGAGTAGGATATGGTGTATGTTTTACTCAAACAGTAAACAACAGCCTAACCAAGGAACTACCATCACGCACATAGGGGAAGCCACTAGTATATAAAAAGAGACGAAACCCCAGTCCCTTCTAGCATGGATGATATAACCTACTTGGACCATGAAACATCTGTAAGAAAACCATCAAACTCAGAGAGCACCAGGGACCCCCCAGCTCCTCTTGATCAACACCTTCTCAGTAGTAGCACTCCTCCCAAGTAAGGTTATCGTAGCTCTGTCTCGATATCTGATTGTTGGCGAGGATCCTTAGAAAACCCTCGGTAGGTCAGATCAGAGCTCTTATCTTCTGCTCCCAGAAAAACACAATAACAGAGTTAGAAGGGACCTTGGAGATCTTCTAGTCCAACCCCCTGTTCTGTCAGGAAACCCCATGCCTTTTCAGACAAATAGTTGTCCAATCTCTTCTTTAAAACCTCAGTATTGAAGTACCACAACTTCTGGAGGCAAAGTAGTTCCACTGGTTAATTGTTCTCACTATCAGGAAATTCCTCCTTAGTTCTCGGTGGTTTCTCTCCTTGGTTAGTTTCCACCCATTGCTTCTTGTCCTGCCTTCTGGTGCTTTGGAGAATAGCTTGACCCCCTCTTCTCTCTGACAACCCCTCAAATATTGGAAGACTGTTATCATGCCACTCCCCTGGTCCTCCTTTTCAATAAAAACAAGAGTGGCATTTATTGCCACTCGGCTTTCTATATTTTTATACCTGGAAATTGCTGATTAAGCCACCCCACATTAATCTGGATTGCCTGATATATATCTCACATCCATCTGAGATGAACTTAAGCTTTTCCCCTTGGTAATGAGTTAGCTAGCAAAACCAGGATTGTGTTATATCGAATTAGTTAATGTTACAGATGTTACAATGGGAGATTCAAACCAACCAACCAACCAACCCAGAAGATTGAAAATGCACTCTCTTATTTCAGAAGACTTAGCTGAGCTCCTAATTCTTTTAAATCCCATTTTGATTTTAAGGACAATTGAGAATGTAGCAATTTCCTTAAGAATTAGTGTAATATTTTCAGAAGCCGGTCTTATCCTAGCCTCCCAGCTCTGCTTGTGACAACAGCAACAAATTGCTAATTTGATTCCATAAATTTAATATATACATGTCTGTAGCCATTCATCTTTACACCTTAAGTCATCACAGAGAGACTTTAAACTAAATTGTATGAGAATGGATCCTGCTCTCCAAAACGATAGATTCTCTAAGTAGGACTGTGAGATGGGAGAAGCGAGGTGGCTGTGTTATGCGCTTGTGTTGCTCACAGTTGTAAGGATGAATTAACGTTAAAAGACTGTTTACAGCAGTGGCTTCTCTATTTTAATCCTAATTATTATTCCCCATAGCAAGGAGAAGCAGAGATGGTCAAATGGATTCTTTTATCCAAAGAAAAGATTATATTTAACTTTGTTCCTGTTTGGAAATTGCTTCTGGATTTTGTGCTTGCAATGGAAAAAAACTTCGATTTTGCTTTTGCTAATTAGATAGCTTTGTTGTTATAGAAATGGCTAGTACATGCTGTTGTGTAACAGTAAAAAGTTGAGGTTGTAATGTTGTTATCTTCTCCTGTACTAAAGAGAGTTGGAAGATAGTGCCTTTTTCCTCCTCCTCCTCCTCCTCCTCCCCCTCCTAGTTTTCTATCCCTTTTTTGAATTTGCCTTTGTATTTTAAATGTTTATCAACTAATACAAACGTGAAGCTGAAGAGAGAGGAGGAGGGAGAATGGCTGTGTAATGCGTGTGTGTTGCCCGCAGTTCGTAAGGACGAATTAACCTTAAAGTCTGTTTACCAGAGCGGCTTCTATATTTCGATCTTAATAATAAATTCCTCTGCTGCATTGGGAAGTTTTAGAAGATATGGTGTGGCACTGTCTGGGAGAAACTGAACCTAACATTAACCCCACAACTTCCCCCGCACTGCAAAGATGCTCCGAAGGTAGCATAAGCTTGCATTTAATGCGCAAAATGAATAGCTGAGCTCTAAATGGACTCCCTGGGAGGGTGGTGGGACCCGTGGAGGGAGCCGTTAATGGGTTGCCACGTTATTGGTGCTAATCACTTAAAATGTGCTCCTTTATTAGGCGCTTTAATGAGAGCCACTTAAACTGTGCATTAAAAAGAGGAACTGCAGAGAAGAATGGTGAACTGGGTGGCAGGCACTCGTAAGTCTAATTGAAATGCTTTTAGTACAGGGGGGAAAAGTTGCCAGAAGCCAGTAATTCTTTGCACTTTAAAAAAAACAACACTAAAACCTTCCATCACGTAGCATCAATTAATGTTTTGTTGTTCGAGGCTTGGAATTGTATTTTAGTTTTGTCAGCTTTCTCCCCTTTTCCCCGCCATGTCCATTCCTTTTCTTCTTCACCCTACTTTTATCAGAATAACAGCTGGAAGAGGGAACTCAGAGGTTTCCTAGCCCAGCTCGCCCTATACCATTCCAGACAAGTGGCTCTCCAGTCTCTTCTTAAAAACCTCCAGTGTTGGAGCACCCACAACTTCTGATGGCAAGTTGTTCCACTGGTTAATTGTTCTCACTGTTAGGAAATCTCTCCTTAATTCTAGGTTGCTTCTCTCCTTGATTAATTTCCATCCATTGCTTCTTGTCCTGCCCTTAGGGGCTTTGGAGAATAGCTTGACTCCCTCCTCTTCTTTGTGGCAGCTCCTCAAATATTGGAAGACTGCTATCCTGTCTCCCCTGGTCCTTCTTTTCTCTAGACTGGCCAAACCCAAATCCTGCAACCTTTCTTCATATGTTTTTGTCTCCGGGCCTTTAACCGTCTTAGTTGCTCTTCTTTGCACTTTTTCCAAAGTCTCAACATTTTTTTTTTGGTCACATGGTGACCAAAATTGGATGCAGTTATTCCAGGTGTGGCCTTACTAAGACTTTATGAAGCAGTACTAAGTGACCTTGATTCTATGCTTCTGTTTATACAACCCAGGATTGTCTTAGCTTTTTTGGCTGCTGCTACACACGGCTGGCTCATATTCAAGCGATCATCCACTAGGACTCCAAGGTCCCTCTCACAGTTAACTGTTTTTGATCCAGGTCTTGCCTGTACTTTTTATTTTTGCGGCCTAAATGTAAAACTTTGCTTTTCTCCACATTAAAATTCATTTTGTTGGATAGGGCCCATCTGTAGGCTTTGCCCTCCTCCACCTTCAAATAAGATTGAGCCTTCCTTCTCCCTTTTTTAATAACCTGTCTATGTTTCTTTGTACTAGCTTGAACACCTGGTCAGAAAGTCAGTATGTGTCTCTGGCAGCCACTTGAATTCCAAATGGGTTAATTCTGCCTTGGCGTTAGCTTTACTTTGACATAGGATCTAATGAGACACTGTGTTTTTTTTAAATAATATTTTTGAGTGGGAAGAAAAATCCTATTAAAGAAAACATTCCCCAGCAGGTACTTTACAAGAGCATTGGCCTATAATTCTCTAACCTCTAACAGTCCCGGTCAATGTCGCATAATCATTTAAAGTGAAGAGATTTTTTTTAAAAAAGTGAGAATGCAGATATGTCAAGAACACCTGTTCCACAGTAGCTGGAAGAACCTAACATGCCATGGAATTCCTTTTATTTAAAAAAAAAATGACAGAAAAGGAGACCGAATCTCTACATGAAACGCTCGTATTGAAGGGTCCGTGGGGAATAAATCGAAATTTTCCTGAACAATAAAATCACAAGCATTCATATAACGGGGCAGGTGCGTTTTTTTTCTCTCTCCTCTGCACGAGGAGAATCTGTAAGGTGATCCATGTCCTCTTCCTGATGTTCTGCCACATGTTTTCTTATTTATTTGATTTCTGTGGCCATCCACTTCGACAGGGGAGGAGAATCTGGGTGGGTTAACAAGGATTAAAAAAACATCAGAAGGAGAAGCAAGCTCCGTTGGGCTTTTCGGACGCTACTGTTTGCACACCCCACTACAGAGCATCGCCCAGAAGGAGGGGAAACCCTGAAAAGAAAGATAAAACCATCTTTTAAAGATTTGGAAGGTGCGGTTCCTCTTGGAAAAGTGAAGCCAGCAAAGCACCTGATTAGAAGAGGCAGGGGGGAAAAGCCAGATTGTATGCTGAATGCGAGGTGGCTGTAGCACATGGAATGATAAGATTGACGTATCAGATTAAAAATCAGGAATCCGGCAACACCTTTTCTGACTTAAGAGGTTGTATTGAAAAGGCAAAAGCTTTTGTGAGGGCCAGGCTCTGTAGTGGGGCATTCAGACGGCGCCTTCAAAAAAAGCTGCTCCTTTCTGATGTTTTTAACTTTTGTGGGGCCCCCAAGATGCACTTTTTCTAATAATGTTTGTCACCATGGATTAACACAGCTCTCCTACGACAACAGCTCAAAGCAACATGAGCATGGGAGGTAATCTTTACCGTCTGGATCAGAATTGGGGTCTGTCTTATACCCCGTGAAAAATGCTAGACCTTTCCTGCCAGATCAGATTGAAGGACCATCTTTGCTATCTTCCGATCTAGCAGAGTTTGATGCTTGAGACCCTAGAACAGGGGTGTCAAAACTCAAGGTCGGGGGGCCCAGATCTGGCCCAGGGGGAGCGTGTGTCCCCCCTGTCCCATGGGGCCACCCTGGAAACAGCGAAGGACTGGCCTGCGGTGCCTCTGCCACCGAAAATGGAGCTCGGGAAGGCTGCAGGTGGCTCTCCAGAGCTAGGTTTTCCCCGGCAGAGGGTTGCAGGAGGCAGTCATAGCCAAAAACTGAGCGTGGGAGCCCGTTTTCGCTGGCAAAGCGCTCGGGCCACCACAGATCCCCCCCAACACGAGTGATGCCGAGCTGGCCACACACACCCCGCCCCCCCCCCAAGTCAAACACAACCCTGATGCATCCCTCAATAAAATCAAGTTTGACAGCCCTGCCCTAGAAAGAGGGCAGAGAAAAGCCACATAGGTGCTTAAGGGTCTGGAGGCAAACAAGCCATGAATCGTTGTAGGAACTGGGTACATCTGGTTTAATGAGGAGAAGGACATTGGGGCTGATGTGGCTGCAGTCTTCCAGTACAGGTATTCCTTGACTTACAACAGTTCATTTAGTGACCGTTCAAAGTTACGACGGCACCGAAAAAGATGACTTATGGCCATTTTTCACACTTAGGACCATTGCAGAATCCCCATGGTCACGTGATTGACATTCAGATGCTTGACAACTGACTCACATTTATGACGGTTGCAGTGTCACAGAGTCATGTGATCCCCTTTTGTGACCTTCTGACAAGCAAAGTCAGTGAGGAAACCAGACTGCCTTAACAACCATGTCACTAATATAACAGCTGCAGCGATTCACTTAACAACTAGGACAAGAAAAATCGTCAAATAGGGCAAAACTCTCTTAATAAATTTCTCACTCAACAGCATAAATTTTGGGCTCGGTTGTGGTCGTATGTTGGACTACCTCTATTTGAGGGAACTGCCCCAGAGAAGAGGGAGTCCAGCTATTCTCCAAAGCATCTGAGGGAAGGAGAAGAAGCAACGGATGGAAACTGATCAAGGAGAGAAGCAACCTGGAACTCAGGAGGAATTTCCTGACAGAACTTAGAATTAATGGAAGGACCTTCTCCATTGCTGGAGATGTTCAATAAAAGATTGGACAAATATTTTGTCTGGGATAGTATAAAGATTCCTCCCTTGGGCAAAGGGTTGTACTAAAGGATCTCTGAGGTCCCTTCCAGCCCTATGATTCTAGGAAAACGACGTGCAGAGTCCTACCCCCCCAGCGGTCCACTCAAACGCCCAGGGTCTCCAAGCCACAGAGTCTCTTGCTGGAGAACCCAAGTGGGGGAATCTTCTAGGCATTTGCAATCCATTTTGTGGGCTTGTTGGGACGGTTGATTCAGGAGGGAGAGAATTGTAGGGACGATAAACCTTGGACTCTTTCCCCTTATCGACCTCGTTGAGGGCTAGGGCCAAAGGGATGTCCTCCATTGAATAATAGCCAGTTTCCCAACTCTACAATTGTGCGATTCAAAGCGAATTTGTTGTGTCCTGCACAACAGATTTTTTTTTTTAAAAAAAAATCTGTGTTCAGCATGAAGAGCTAAGGCTGGGTTTTGGCCGCTTGCCTGCCTTATCATCGGTGTGAAAAGCATTTCATTTCCATAGACCTCGACAAACGCAGAAGGATAGCGAACAAATAATACCAAGGCTGCAGTGAAACTCACTTGCTCGGCTTCTTGTAATTCATTTGCATGGATGCCACACAGCTGCCGTGATAATAAAAATGTTGGCAAAAGGGGTTTGCTTGATCGAGCAAGGGAAAAATATATATATATATATTGCGAGAACAGTCCAGATTTCAACCTCGTACCTCGCGCGATGAACAGAGTGCTTTTTAACACATTTCAACATAACAAAAGCACTGGCTTTTATTAAGCACTTTTATTTCATAATAGGGGCATGTTAAAAATATTTCTACATTGTACCTGAGTTTTGGTCCACAGGCTGCCCTAAGGCATATAAACCTAAAATCAGGAACCCAGGCAAACGTCCCCCTTAACGTAGTCGACACACCCCTTTTTATCTGCAGTGTAAGTACCAGGTTCACTGGTGTTGAAATAAATTTACAATAGATTAAATTTAAAGGTGCATATTTAGCTTAAAAGAGCTGCCAAGTGTGGCAACGGCATTTCTATGTTGCAAAAATTGCGCGCAGGTAGTCCTGGACTTAACGACCACAATGGAGCCCAACCTTTCTGTTGATAAGCAAAATGATTCTTAAGTGCGTTTTGCCTCATTTGCCCCGCCGTTGCTAAGTGAACCACTGCAATATGTCCCAAAGGTGCTTTTTTTCAAAGAGGCAACTGGACTTTCTGGTTTTTCTTTGAAGACGTTTCACTTCTCATCCAAGGAGCTTCTTCAGCTCCAACTGAATGGTGGGGAATGGAAGGATTTATACTCCTCGCAGACAGCTGGTCATTTGCATCCTTTTTAGAGTCTTTGCAGTTTTTTTTTTAAAAAAGCACCTTTATGACAACCATGACCTGGATGACTGAGATTTCTCCATTAAACAACCACTGCAGTTGTTAAGTTAGCAACCCCAGTTGTTAAGTGAATCTGGCTTCCCCATTGACTTTTGCTTGTCAGAAGATCACGTGACCCAGAGGGGACACCGCAACCATCCTAAATAAACTACCTGTAACTGTTTTCCAAAGGAAAATAATTATTTTTGATGCTGACAAATCAGCTGAAGCTTTCCTTTTACCGGCATCTGTGGAAAGGGACACATTATGGGGAGGGGGAGAGAAATGCCTACTTTCTGCTTGTTTCTTTAGAGAGTGAAAAATGCTTGTCTGGCTTTGAAGTCTGATCTGGGAACCTCTTTGTGGTGCACCTTTCACAACTTGTGCATGCTAGAAAAACGTGTTCCTCGCCTACCCAGCAACCTTTGAGATTATTCGCCACTTTATTTTTGTTGGCCAAGGAGATTGCAGGTGTGGTATTTCTTGAGACCTGGTGATACTTAACTGTTGTTGTTTTTCCCCCCTCTTCCTTTTGTAGGGTTTTTTCCTGGGAGCTCTCAGGGATGCGATGCCTTCCTGCGACACAAGATGACCCTCATTTCACCTTCCATCTTGAAAAAATACAGCATCCCTTTTGACCGGGTAGGTACCCAGACCGTTTGCAGGAAACCTCCTGCTGATCCTGAGAAAGTTCTCCTTTCCAAGGGAGGAGCAGGAAGGAAAAAAGTCACAGAAGCCTCTGGGACCCTGGGGTCACACTCACAACAGGGACCGGAAAATGTATTGTTAAGTGGTATGGTTGTTAAGCGAGACATCATCTGATTGCACCCAGTTTTACAACATTTTTACCACAGTTGTTAAGTGAATTGCATGGTTGTTAACTGAATCATATGGTTTCCCCAAAGATTGATTGTTGGAAGCTGGCTGGAGAGTTGCAAATGGCGATCACGTGACCCCGGAAGGCTGCCAGTTGAAGTCCACAAGTCTTAAAAGTTGCCAAGCTTGGGTAGCCGTGGTTTAAATTGGGAGCCCCCAACCTTTGGGCCACAGCCTATTCACAACTGGGCCCTGGGAGCATTGCAGGGGCTCATGGCCCCACCCGTGCAGATGTTGCGGGCACTCACGGCTCCATCTGCGTGAGCAACAAGTAGTTGCACATGTGCGCGCATATCCTCCTGCCTCACCCACAAAGCCATCCCCTCTTCCCCTCCCCCCCCCGTCTCACTCTGGGCTACCAACCCAGAAAGGTTGGGGGATTCTGGTTTAAATGAGGGTGGCTCGTTGGTTAGAATGCAGTATTGCAGGGTAACTCTGTCCACTGCCAGCAGTTCGATCCTGACCGGCTCAAGGTGGAGTCAGCCTTTCCCCCTCCCGAGGTCGGTAAAATGAGGACCCACATTGTTGAGGGGCAACAGGCTGACTGTGTAAACCGCTTAGGAGAGGGCTGTAAAGCACAGTGAAACAGTATATATAAGTGTTAAGTGCTGTTGCTATCTGTCTCCCCTCACCCTCATCTCACCGAGAACTAAGTTACAAGCTCTGGCAACGAGACAATAATGCGTTGCTAAATATAACTGTATCTCCAGGTACACATTTCTACATCTTGACTTTGTTATTGTAAACCAAACCTTATGCTTGGGAGGAGGGAGCTGTCTCTCTCTCTATATATATGTAAAAGCACTTCCTGCACCAAGAGTTTTCAAAGCTAGGGCTCGCTCAGCTACCTAAATAATGAACTTCCCATCCCAGTTTTGCAAATATGCAAATGGTGGCTTGGTTCACCCCCAAGCCTCCAGCTGGGTGAGCAGATGGAATGCAAGAAAACTCTGGTTCGGGTGGCTCAGCGCAGGCTGTTCGTACAGGTGGCTCGGGAAGAGATCCGGCATCTGAATTAAACTGTTGTGATTACAGGAGGTGTTTTTTTTTTTTTTTTTAAATTTCCCCTGCATAACTCAATCTTGTCACCCTGGTTTCTGGTTTCACCTTCCCATCCATGGGTTGACTGTCGATGTCGGAGGAACATATTTACATGGAAGATTAAGGCGAAAAGGGCAGAGGAGGGAGACAAAACACATGTGCTAAACGCAGCACCTTTTATTGTTCAAAAGAAAGAAAAAAAAGAATATTCACAGCTCAGGGTTGAAGTGAGGGGTGCTTGGTGCTCTCTGAGCTTGGCTGTTTTCCTACAGATGTTTCATGACCCAACTAGGGAATGTCATCAGTGCTAGGAGGGAGTGGGTTTGCAGAGAGGAGGGGTGTGGGGTCCTAGGTGCTCTTTCTGAGCTTGGGTGTTTTCTTGGAGATGTTTCATGACCCAACTAGGTAACATTATCAGTGTTAGAAGGGAGTGGAATTCAGTCTTTGTTTATATACTAGTGGTTGCCCTGTCAATGTTGTAGCAAGCTTTCTTGTTGGTCCCTTGATTAGGCTGCTGTCTACTATTTACTATTGTTTGTCTGAGTTGGTAGTTCCTGGATTGGGGTATTGTTTATTGCTTGATTGTTGGTTTAATATTAAACTTAGTATTAATCTTTGCTTATCTGGCAGCTGATTGCTGGCAGGGAGGTGTTTGGGTTATTTTTTGTTTCCTCTTTGGCTTTTTGACCATCTCTTTTGAACGGTGTGTAGATATTGTTTATCTCTATGTGTCTGTTGATGGCCGATTTATCTGAGTGTAATTCTCTAGTATTTTTAGACATGGTTTTGTCTGGGATGCTCACTGTTTCCCAATTAAACCTATGGCGAAGTCTGACCCCGTGTCATGCAATTAAGGCACTTTCAGTGTGTTTTCTGACCGCTATTTGGTGTTCAGGGATGCCCTCTGCTAGTCTTCTGCCTGTTTGTCCTACATAGTGACGGTTGCATACTTGACTCCTGTTTTTTTTATTTTCCGGGTCTGCTCGATCTTTTGGTTGACTTAACCATGTTCAGGAGGGCTTGACTTGTGTTGCTCCTTTGTTAGCTTTTGATTGATGTGAGGGGCTTTTGCACTATTGCTGAGGTTTCAAGAATTTACATTGTGCGTTCATCCATTGGGTGGATTTCATTAGGGATCTATTTCATCTTTGGGTGCGATGTAACATCGCTCACTTCATTCTTGGGGTTAAGATTTCCACCCAGTCAAATGCTCCAGCTCTCCCTCCCTTAGCCCAACTCATTTCACAGAGTTGTGGAGAAGGGCTATTACTGTATGTTTGATATCTTGAATTGTTTATAAAAAAATAATAAAGCAGGATAAGTATAAATAAGTTACCCAACCCTAAGAAATACCAAATATTCCTTCTGTTTGTCACATTCATTCCTCTCTGGGGAGGAAGGCTCCTGGAAGATGGCTGGAGGCTCCATGGTGCTTCTCACTAGAAGGCAACCCTTGCATCTGTGTCAGGCCCATCCTGCCCAGCCAGTGGGCCCTGTAGTCCAAAGCATCTGGAGAGCAACCGGTAGCCTGACCAGGATCCACCTGCCATGATGGGGGAAAAATAAGGAGGGATCTGATCACGATGCCTTTGATAGATTGATGTTATTTTCCTCAGGTCGTTTAGAGCCATATAGTTGAATATAAAAACCTTGCATTGACCTGATAGCAAATCAACGGCTAATGCAGTGCTTTCAGCAGCTGTCTTATTTAAGGTAGACTGGAAGATGAAGGACACCGGACGGCTGTTTAAAAAAACAAACAAGCCAGAAATCATTCTGTCTCCATATTAAAGCTGTCAGGGGGAGTCAAGGAAGAAATACCCTTTTAGTCCCCGGTGCTCTAAGCATTTCTGAATGGTTTTCTCATATATGCCTAATTCCCCCTTTTGTCTTCCTTGCCTTCTTTCAGCCTGTCCTTCCACTCTCCTTAAAATAAAATAAAAAATAAATAAAAGGATGTTTTTTGTGTCCTCTGAGTAAATGGCATTAAGTAGCCTTGAAAGGAGGAGCCTTCACAGCAGGGAAGAATATGAAGATAAGATTCCTTTGACTCACCCGCACGCCAGAGAAGGGGCTCAATTTTCTCCATTAGGGCTTTTCCGTAGGGCTGCTTTTATCCCCCTCCCTGACACTGGATTCGTTACAGGAAGTCAGTTTTGGTCAGCTGCGACATTGGGTAGAATGTGAAGAAAATCAGGCCAAAAAAAAAAAAAAAATGCCCCCTTTTTTGGAGTCTGTCACAGACTTCACTTGAAAATCAAATGTGGAGAAGGAGGCTCAGAACGTTGCTAAATCTCGACCCTTTTCGGTGGAGGGAAAAGCGGGTGTTAATTTAGTATTTACTAAGGACATTGAAATGGCCGCCCAACTCGGTCATGGTGACTCGGGAGGCTTACAGAAATCAAACCCAGCTACAAATTTCAATAACCCCCCACATCCCCCTGGTGACAACACAGGGAGTCCTCGACTTACAACCCCCAATCGAGCCCCAAATCCCTGTTGCTAAGCGAGACAGTTATTAAGTGAATTCCACCACATTTGATGACCTTTCTTGTCACAGTTGTTAAATGGATCACTGCAATGGTTCAGTGCGTCTGGCTTCTTCCCGTTGACTTTGCTTGCTGGAAAGTCGCGAAAAGTGATCACATGACCCTGGGACATTGCAACCGTCATAAATATGAGCCAGGTGCCCCGTGTCCGAATTTGGATCAAGTGACCGTGAGGATGCTGCAACGGTCATGTGAAAAATGGCCATAAGTCATTTTTTTTTCAGTGCCGTTGTAAACTTGGAACAGTCGCTCAATGAACTGTTGTATCAAAACACCAATACAGAGAAGGCCCTTCTTGGTGCTACCAAGTAGGCCGCCTTAAGATAGGGGACCCATAACATCTTCTTTCCAATCTTATCTCCATAGGGATGATGTTCCATGGGGAGCCACCACAGAGAAGGCCCTTCTTTTTGGTGCTACCAAGTAGGCCGCCTTAAGACAGGGGACCCATAACATCTTCTTTCCAATCTTATCTCCAGAGGGATGATGTTCCATGGGGAGGGAGCCCCCACAAAGAAAGCCCTTCTTCTTAGTCCCACCAGGTGGACAAGAAGCAATGGATGGAAACGAATCAAGGAGAAAAGCAATTAGAACTAAGAAATTCCCTGACAGAACAATTAATGAGTGGAACAACTTACCTCCAGAAGTTGTGAATGCTCCGACACTGGAAGTTTTTAAGAAGATGTTGGATAACCATTTGTCTGAAATGATGTAGGGTTTCCTACCTAAGAAGGGGGTTGGACTAGAAGACCTCCAAGGTCCCTTCCAACTATTCTATTCTGTCCTGTCCTGTCCTGTCCTGCCCTGTCCTATTTTTTCTATTCCTTAAGATAGGGCACTCATAACCTCTTATCTCCAATCTTATCTCCATAGGGATGATGTTCCACGGGGAGGGAGCCACCACAGACGAGGCCCTTTCTTTTGGTCCTACCAGGTGAACCTCCTTAAGAGAAAGGACCCATAACATCTGCCTCCCTGCTCTAGTGGGTCAGGTAGACGGCCCTTATATCACCTAACCCTAAGCCACATAGGGCTTTAAAGGTGACAACCATCACCTTGAGATGGACCTGGAAGCAAATTGTCAGCCAGTGCAGCTCCCACAAGAGATGTGACACGAGTACAAATCTAGACATGCACAGAACTATGCGGGATCTCACATTTTGTGAACCAATGGAA